TGGGGGGTGCTCCGGAGTATGGGGTTGGTGGCCCCTTGCTAAGGGCCATCCAGTCCCTGTACCGAAGGAGCGCGAGTCTGGTTTGCGTGGCCGGCAGTAAGTCAGACCTGTTCCCGGTGAGAGTTGGACTCCGCCAGGGCTGCCCTTTGTCACTGGTTCTGTTCATAACTTTCATGGACAGAATTTCTAGGCGCAGCCGAGTGGTGGAGGGTGTCAGGTTCGGTGACAGGAGGATCTCGTCTCTGCTTTTTGAGGATGACGTGGTCCTCCTAGCCCCATCGAACAGTGACCTCCGGCTCTTGCTGGGATGGTTCGCAGCCGAGTGTGAGGCAGCTGGGATGAGAATCAGCACCTCCAAGTCTGAGGCCATGGTCCTCAGCCAGAAAAGGGTGGATTGCCCTCTCCAGATCGTGGGGGAGGTCCTGCCTCAGGTGGAGGAGTTTAAGTATCTCGGGATCTTGTTCACGAGTGAGGGTAGGATGGAGCGGGAGATTGACAGGCGGATTGGGGCGGCGTCAGCAGTGATGCAGGCGCTTAACCAGTCCGTTGTGGTGAAGAGGGAGCTTAGCCAGAAAGCGAAGCTCTCGATTTACCAGTCGATCTACGTTCCAACCCTCACCTATGGTCACGAGCTGTGGGTAGTGACCGAAAGAACGAGATCGCGAGTACAAGCGGCCGAAATGAGTTTCCTCCGCAGGGTGGCTGGGCTCAGCCTTAGAGATAGGGTGAGGCGCTCAGACATCCGGGAGGGACTCGGAGTAGAGCCACTGCTCCTCCACATTGAGAGGAGCCAGTTGAGGTGGTTTGGGCATCTAGTAAGGATGCCTTCCAGACGCCTCCCTTGGGAGGTGTTTCGGGCATGTCCAACCGGGAGGAGACCTCGGGGCCGCCCCAGGACACGCTGGAGGGATTACATCGCCCGGCTGGCCTGGGAACGCCTTGGAACAGCTGACGGAAGTGGCTGGTGGCTGCTCTAGTGGACAACACATGGCTTGCGCATTCCCCACGCTATGAAATAATACTGTATAATTAAGTAACATTACGACACATGAAGCAAATACTCGGAACTACTTTCTTGAGTAAACCACTGGGCAGAGTGACACAGTGCGCAGCTGAGACAGTGCCATAGTTATTGCTTGTAGCCATTTGCGGTATCGTCAGCTGGACACACCAGAAGGTTTGAGGAAAGTTTACAAGTGTTTTTGTAAATCATGGTTTACACATGCATTGCATGCATTGCAGTAACAAGCCGAAGACATGGAGCAAAGTGAAGTTTCACGTAGTTCCAACCAGTAATACGGACATGATGAAACAATGGTTATTTGTGCTGGACATCGACCCCAACACGCCTGTGGAAATGGTCCGAAAAAAGTTTGTGTGCTCCTGCCATTTATTACCGGAGGACTACGCTGAAAGGATGGAGCGCAGAAGCTCAGGAATGGTTCAAACTTCTTTCTTCAAAGATACTGTAGGCAGATGTTAGCAGATGTTAGTGGTTTTCTTGTGCAGTGGGAAAGGGGCTAAAGACTGAGAGGTTCATTAGTGACAGCTGTTTGGCTTGTGTGTAGCTATGATTGAGGGCAAAAGAAATGATACTGATACAATGCACTGTGTTGTATTTATATAGTAGGGCAGAAGTTGCGTTGAGGATGGCTTCAGTGTATTGTTGATGGTGTTTACATGCTCAAACACATAAACGGGATACTCAAAAAAGCTGATTATAAAGAGGTTATTCATATCCACATTAACGCACGCATTGATTAACTCTTAACTTATCAGCTGAATGGGCAACCTGTGTTCTCAGTTGATCTTCAGTGTAGTCTCTACTGTTGTTTATGGCACCAACTGTTCTTTCAGGGATAATTTCATGTCTTGATTCCAGTCTTTGTTTGTACCCTTTCATCTTCTCATTGTCAGTGCTCACACAATGTGTCTGCTCTATCACCTGAACCAGGTGAGAGTTCATGACATGGTTCACGTCTGGTCAACAGATCATCATGCACGTGAAGTGGTTGCTCAGTCTCCCACCTGTTTCTTCCCTTCCTACAGCGTGTGCTGCCAAGGACCTTGCCTCTAAAACAGGAGGTCAGGTTGGATGTGAAAACCAGTATGCCTACGAAGAATACAAAGAGGAAAGGCCTTGCCACAGAGCCCTATCTAGTGTGAATGGAACTACTGTGTGGTCGATCCCACAGGATGTGCTGTGACATCAAGGCCACAATCATAAAAGTGCTGCAGAAATGACTCCGCTAAAAAAGTTTATTTTTCTTTCTGAGACAAAAACACGGCTCCTAACATTGGTGACCATTGGTGATCATTTTCAGATACAATGACACTGAAACAAATTTTGAGTTGGGTGGGTGATTCTAGCTTTCCAGTGATATCAGTATTGTTTTTGTGCTTCAGATATTCAGCAACATATGTCACATTACATTCGTAACAGCAGCGGTTTGTGAAGTTTAATTGATTAGTCAATCCAATCTGATCAGCTCATATCGACTGTGCCAATGAGAGGAACAGCTGCTGCAGCGAGGGAAAGATAACTTTTCACTTTCACTGCACCTTGCACTGCTACATCTGTGCCCAGAGTATGCTCTGCTCTCCAAGAGTGTGGTGCAGTGAATAACCAAACGATGCATATATTCCAACAACGCTCCTAATGAACATTTCATTTCCAAAAATATGAAATCAATATGTGGCGGCAGATGTTGTTATTGTGGCAGGCTCCCACATTAAATGAATGTGTGGGAAACCCTGCACTGTACTCCAGGGGCTGTCCGGGGCTGAACAATACATAGAAAAGTTGGGGTTTTGTAACCAGCAAAGTAACAGAAACAAGTGTATCTGACAAGGTGCAGGAAGATGAGAAAATAGTTTATGTTGCTAGCACTGTGATTGAGCATACAGGTTTCAGTGGACTTGACAGTAATCACAACTTTGATCAGTTTTTTTTATGTAAAACTCCTGGGATTCTTTTGATCTTTGGACCCTTAAGGGAATATCAGTCATACAGAAATAGACATATTTTCAGACTTAATCATCCCTTTAAAGGTAGGGAGTCAACTTTTTACATCTCTCTTGTTTACCAGGCTAGTAAATCTAAGTTATATTCTGGTGCCCAGGTTTCCCTTGAAAGGAACCAATAAATGAAATGTGGAGAATTTAATCAATCAATCAATCAATTTTATTTATAAAGCCCAATATCACAAATCACAATTTGCCTCACAGGGCTTTACAGCATACAACATCCCTCTGTCCTCAGGACCCTCACAGCAGATAACCAAACTAAAGATGTGTAGCACGTCTATCCTGACAAAAGTTTAAGATTTATATTTTGATGCGCAATGCTTAGTTGCTTAGAACCAGCTGAAGCCGGTTGCCGGTGGGCTCCTGGTGGGTTTTAAGAGGTTTCAGTATTCTGAAAGCAGACTAAAATCTACTGGACAGTGCCTTGTTACTATAATGTTAAGTCTTTAATTCATAATTCCAGGGAGACATAGAAGGAGGAAGGGAGAGTGGAGATGAGTAGATCTTCATGCCCTCTAGGGTTGTGCCGATGTCTTTTTTAAATGACGATGCAATCGCGAGGTGTGGGGGGACACAGCGCGTGTGTGGAGCATGCGGGTGGGGGGGACAACAATGCCTCCGCCCACTCGACACAAGCATACTCGGACGTACTATAAGTGGAGCGGATTCCGCGAGGAATGTCCGCAGTCATTTGGGCTTTCATAGTCGAGCGCACTTCAGCGTTGTAGTTTCCTGTAAAAAATGTCCGTGAAAAATCCCCGCGATGTGAAAAATACATGCCGAGCAGTCACTGGTGCGCGGAGCGGAGTCTGCGCGGTCGTAAAATCTGAGCTTTGCGCGCACAGGGCTTGCGGACGTCCGCTTTGAGTCCGCGCGGACCTCCGCGGAATCCGTTCTGCGTATGTTCCGCCCGAGTATGTTCGGGCCGAGCGCTGAACAAACCAAACAACACAATGTCAGGAGAAATTGAAAAGATATGCCGTCTATGTAAAGTCAACTTGCTAATTAAGGAGCCATTACATGTTCAAGAGTTTTATAAAGCTGCTTAAATGCCAAAGAGAGGCTATAAGTGAACTTTTCAGTGGCTACTCGTAATGACTCCCCCCCCCCGGGCGATGACATCGTTCATCGGGGATTTCACTAGATGGCGATAGGACGATAGGATATGGACAAGATCGCCCAACTCTAATGCCCTCGCAACAGGGATACTCAGTTTGCACTTCCTGGGGACCACTTTTGGAAAATGACAGTAGGTCAGGGGCCAGCCAGCAGCACCACATGTAAAGGCAGGGCCATTTCTAGGATTTGAGGACTTCGCTCTTTTTTAGGCAGTCTGGCATCTTAAGCTGCTTTCACAACAATGTGCGGTAACTCACATGGGAGTTGGAGGGGGGCATGTCAGGCTGTGGATCAAACAACAGGAGAGACAAAAGTCTAGATGCTAATTATCATCAAAATGAATTGACCCAGTTGTCTGCTGCTCCTCATGGTGATTAATTATGGTGTCCTGGTTTGGCCTGCGCTTTGACTTCTGCTTTATGGCTAGTTTGGACAATTAAGCCCATTAAGAAAATGTGAAAAACGAAATCACCAGTCTGTTTGCTTCTGCCTGTGTTCTGTTTACCCATGGTTATATGTAGCCTCAAGAAAAGCACAGAACCTAATCAGCTCATGTAGCTTCAATCAGATACCTCAGCTTTATAAAACAATGAAAAGTTAAGCTTTGCAAACTTGCTTTATTATAGGCTTTATATTTTTCCATCTTATAGATGAAGTTTTGATTAAGACTAGAGATGCTGATGAAATAATCTCAAGGTCTACGGGAGAAAGAGTCAAACTTCAGTTTAAAGAAAAATCACTAAAAAGTCACAAAAACATCAGAATCAATACGTTGTGAGGGCATCAAGATGCAATGTAAGATGCATTCATGTTCTTTGTAATGCCTTTAATCTCTCTGTTCTTTCCCTTTCTAGGTTGGTGTTCTGGGTGGACAACACAAGCGCTCGTCAAGTAAGCAGGGCTTGTTGCCATGCACGAGGGGCTTTACTCAGGAGGAATACAGCATCGAAATGGACCAAGAGCCAGCAAAGGGACAGGCCGTCTTCAACGGTCAGCACACACACGCACGCACGCACACAGATTTGGAGCGGGGACAGCTACAGTAATAATCTTCTGCTGTTGGGTGGGGGTTGTTATTGAATCCCGCTGATATTTGAACCATAAAGTAAGATGCTTTGTTAAGACTGAGTGTGAAGTAGGATTGGATTGATCTACTCCTTCTGTTAGAATGAATGTTGTCCAGTCTGTTGATTACTACACTTTACAGTGGACTTCCACATTTGAAGCCTTTAATTTGAACAAAGAAAGACAACCTTGACTTGGCTGGATCTCGTAGGAGGTTTCTTTTTTCTGGGATTTTGACTTGGACATGTCCCAGGTTCATGGGGTTTTTGACTCAGACTTGATTCCTGGGTGGTTTTGGCTTGAACTCGTCCTGCGATCTTTGCGGGTTTTGACTTGGACCTGCCTCAGATTCATATTTATTTTAATCCAGTGGAAGAGGGATTCTTCCTCAGTTGCTCTTCCTGAGGTTTCTACCTTCTTTTTTCCCTGCTAAAGGTTTTTTTGGGGGAGTTTGTCCTTATCTACTGTAGGGGGGCAATTAAGGACAGAGGGATGTGGTATGCTGTATAGCCCAAATTGTGATTTGTGATATTGGGCTTGGCGGCATGATGGTGTAGTGGTTACTGGACTGTCGCCTGACAACAAGAGGGTTCCTGGTTCAATCCCAGGAGGGAGCCCCTCTGTGCGGAGTTTGCATGTTCTCCCCGTGTCAGCTTCCTCCCATAGTCCAAAGACATGCAGGCACGGGATAGGTTAAGTGGTGACTCTAAATCACGCCCGTAGGTGTGAATGTGAGTGTGAATGGTTGTCTGTCTCTATGTGTCAGCCTTGTGACAGTCTGGCAACCTGTCCAGGGTGTACCCTGCCTCTCGCCCAATGTCAGCTGGGACTCCAGCCCCTCCGCAACCCGCAAGAGGATAAGCGGTTATGAAAATGGATGGATGGATATTGGGCTTTATTAAAAAAAAAATTAAATGGAAATTGAATTATCCTGATTTGGGTGCAACTCTAGTGTGTGAATGGTTTTCTAACAGGGTCTTTCTCATTGGTGATAATGCTGGTTTGGATACCTCTTCTGTGCCCTTTTATGTTTTTTCAATTCTTCATTTTCACACTCTTAAAGGAGTAGGGTAAACGTCCCTATTAAGCCCACCAAATCTGCTTTTCAGACATTTTTAATATATACCACCCCAATTTCAGTGAGAACATTTTAGTTAAAATGATAGTCTAATCTCTCATTTGAAGTGTCAATAATTCATTTATACCAATTTTTAATGTTTTTATTGTTTAATTTGTCAAAATATGTCAAAAGTGTGGCATGGGCTTAATGGGTACTTAATGTACCCTTTAAGCCCATGGGTGTTCCAAATAAGCCCACTTCATGATTTGTTGATAAATAAATATATATATTTTAAAATCTTAACAATCCAAACTTGTTCTATTAAAATCTGTAATCTCTTAGTTCTCAATAGCTATTTTCATGTTCCTTTTTGTTGTGTTGTCAACACAGAAAAAGCTAAACTTACAGCATATCTTCTTTGGAATGTAGCCAAAAAACTATTCATGAACAAACTCAAAATTATAATGAAAATTACTCATCAATACTTCATCTTTCAGTATGTGTTGTTATTTTGTCTGTATCTCTATCATACATTGTACTGTTGGCATTTGGAATTGGCCAAAATTTCTGGTCCAGCCAGCTGGTTGAAAGTGCAGATGTTTTTTATCAAGATTTCTGAAGATCTAATGACTAAAAGAAAAACAGTTTTCAGGTTCAATACTAATATTTTAAGGATAATTAGTTTAATTTATAAAAAAGAATAGCATGCACATACATTACTTGTTTACAAAACAAAAATATGTTTGCACCAGATTTAGCTGAAGGCTCATTTCCATCTGTAGTCCTCTAACATAAAACATGAAACACAACAAAATACACAATCCACAATTAACACAAAGGAGCACACAACATCAGATACAGACACATCATAATACATATATAACAATCTCACGTGACATGCACATGTATGCCCTGCACGCTGCATGTTACATAATGCTATACGACATATGATACCACACAATATGCATAAATAAATGAGTCAATTTCAGTATTTACAATGTAACAAATAACTTTAACTGATTTTTAAAACTTTATAAAAACACAGGTTAAAAACAAACATTTAAAACCATTGTGGAGTAACATTAAAGACCCCCTCCAAGTAAAATCCTCAGTGAGAGAGAAAGAGTAGTGGGGAAACCCGTGTTGAACCAAGTATTAATCAGCAGAGTACTTTTATATAAGCTTACTTTAAAACATGACTGGAGGTCATTCGAAAATTATTGCTAATGTTAGGACAGAATGTAGGCCTATCCAGAATGAATTGACCTATGCAGTATCACGTAGGGCCCTATTTAGATGGTCTAAAGCGCAAAGCACCAGGCATGCGGCGCATGGGCGTGTCCCAGTCACTTGCTAGTTAGATAGCGTGTTTTCAGACTGTGCGCCATGGCGGAGAGTCTAAAAGGGTTGGACTTACTCTGTGAATTAGTCATGGTTGTGTTTTGGGCGTATCATTCAGTAAGCCAATCAGAGTGTCACCTCTCATTCCCTTTAACAGAGGCGCGATTGGAGCGCACGGCGGATAGCTAGTTAGATGGCGCACCGACTGGAAAGAGTGAGCGTTTTACAGTTGAGGAGACGATAACTGTATCTCTATATCGACTGTCCCGTCTCATCTGATGACAGATCAAAGGGGATTGGCACCGTTTGGCACCGTTTGGCACGTTTGGCACGCGTAACGGAAACCCAACCTGATTTGATTAACACAGCTGCAATCTAATAAGCTCACATCCCTCTCAGCCAGCCACAAACAGCCACAGCATCAGATAGGGAGTATATATTCAGCATCTGTCATCTTAGAAAAGCCAAAAGAAACAGAGTGAGACTGCGAGAGAGAAAGAGAGAGCGCGCACGCACGAGAGAAACGCTGTCAACACATTGTAAGTTATTCAATTTTATTTTAACCCGGGAGGTTAGAGAGCCCATCTCCCTCTCCAGCATCCTGAACCCCCCCGCCTGAAGGTGCAGGAAAGGCTGTTCCCGTGGCTGCACCCAGGCCGTCTGGTCTGGCGAGCAGGCTGCGGAGCTCCCCCCGGGTGCCCCTGGCTGTGCGGCGGGCTGTGCGGCCGCTGTGCATCCTCCTCCTCCTCCTCCTCCTGACAAGTTGATCTTCAGTTTTACGTTCTAAAAGCTTTTTTTTTAAACATACATTTGTACTTGCAGGGCTATAAGTTTTAGTTCACAGAAGCTGGTTATTGTTGTGTTTATGTCAAAATAAAGTTTATCAAACGTTTTCAGATCTTTGATTTTGTGATTTACATGTTCATTTTACAGGTTATGCATCATCAGCCTGTGGAGGTCTGCATGCAGTTCCATATATTCGGACACTGCAACTTGGACCTCCCGGATTATGATGATCAATAACTGCAGTTAGATCATTCTGATTAATGACTGACCATTAAGACGTGTTTCTGATAAATATTTTAATGTGCACAATAATAACCTTTCACATTGTAATCATATTTTTATTTGTTATCTTTTGCATATGTGTGGCTGCTCCGTGTGTGTCGGAGCAGAGTGCACGCCTGTTGTGCACCCGCCTAGAGATGCATATTACTAACTTGATTAACGGCGAAATACTGCACCGTTGACTTTAGACCAGGTTTTTGTTGGTCACTGGCGCATTTGCTTTTTAAGTCATCTAACTAGCAACGCGCCATGATTGCGCCTGACCACTCCTCATTTTTAGACCAACATACCCAGAGAAGCACAAGTTCATTTGCTAGTTAGACGACGAGGGCGCAGGGCATGAAAATGACAACTGCGCCTGCATCTAAATAGCAATGACACTTGCGACATGGATTATGCGCCGTCCGCCGTCCGCTTTAGACCTAAATAGGGTCCGTATATTTAAATTTGGGTATTTTATGGAGCTGATTGATTAGGTGAGGTCAAAGTTGGGCAAAATGTTTCAAAAAGTCAAAAGGGAGAAAATCTCCATTGAAACACAGTCAAGTGGACTTAATGGGAGTAGGTGGGTTTAAAGGGAACTTAAGTGAATTTCTGGTTAAAAGTCAGAATATTTTATTCTACATACATGACATTAAAAAACAACTACATGAAATGAATCTATATATGCTGCACTAACATAACATAAAAAATGTCAATTGATCATGCACTGAAGTAATTAGCTATACTTATTTACATCCACCCTAAACTGTGTGATTTTTTTGCTTGTGTTCCCTTTAAGCCCACTTGGTAAAAATGTGAATTAAAAAATAAATAAAGATAAACATACACATTTATTATCTATTTAATAATAATAATATATTCTGCATACAAAAATGTAAACTATACATGCTTATCATGCTTTATGTCATTGCAATGAACAATGCTATGCAGCAACTGTATTGATGCAGCATGCGGGCTGTTTGCTAGCATGCTAAAACGCATATTTTTTTTTAAAAAAGATGATTTTTTTGGGGGGGCTTTTTGCCTTTAATGGACAGGACAGATTGAAATGGGGAGAGAGAGAGAGAGAGAGAGAGAGAGAGAGAGAGAGTAGGGGTTGACATGCAGCAAAGGGTTGCAAGCCAGAGTCGAACCTGTGACCACTGCAGCGAGGCATCGCCTCTGTACATGGGGCGCCGGCACTATCTACTACGCTACCGATGCCCCTAAACTCATATTTTGACTTCAAAAGAAAAAGTATGTCTAATTCGTGTAATATTCTAACATATGTTTTATTCAAAGCACTAATCTCTTAAATTTTGATAACAAATGAGTATTTACCAAAAGCAGCATTAGAAATATGAAAAAAATGCTGTTCTGATGGCACCAATATCAAAAGTTTTTTTGCAGCTTCTTCTGGGAGCAGCAGGCACATGTCACACATGTGCTTCAATAACTCAATATCAACAAATCT